TAGGACCTCTAGGTTAAATAAAAAACTAGCAATTCTCACCTCAAATATCAGTAGATTTTTTTATTAAATTATAATAATGTTTAAATTGTTATAAGGAAAAAAATCCAGAAAATTTTATTCATTACATTTTAGATATTTAATTTTAATCCTTTTTATTCTAAAAAATATTTTTTAAGATTAATAAAAGCATAAGTTAACTTGATATGATAATTAGCTCAAGAAGGAGCATGAGCTACTAAATCACTGGATTAACCCACAGGTTTCTGTGTCAATCATTTTAATTAAAATGACTTTTTTTTTCTAGCTATTCAAATAACTAAGAATCTAACTGGATCAAATAAATTTCACTAAGTTAATATTTTGTTTGTTGAGTTAAAAATCTAAATCAGATTGAACTTTAAATCTCAAGATTTTCAGAGAATTCACGTTATGTTTGGGACGGTGATATAAAATGTTTTTAAACATGTCTTCTTCTACCGTAAATACTCGAGGAAAAAATCAACAATCTTATTATGCACTGTAGATTTTGCAGTCAGGCCCAGCACTGTAAGCCTCTAGACAAGAGACAGGCCTTCGAGGATTAGCGGTCAAAAAACTATTTGGAGCTTCTATCACCAAACTAGTACTGTCAGAAAGTACTGAAAGCACTTTACTGGGTTTTGAATTTCAGACCCAAACTGAAGGACTCATGAAAGAAGTAAAGCAAAAACTTTACTGGGTTTTGAATTTCAGACCCAAACAGAAGGACTCATGAAAGAAGACAAAGTAAAGCAAAAAGGTCCAAGCTTTAGAGTTGTTTTGGGTTCTGTTTTTGGTCCTTGTAAGAAATTCAACTGATGTTCATTCAAAACAGCAGAACCTAAGATTTCAGGTAATGATATTATTAGCTTGGATCCTTTGTTTGTTACATCAGATTCTGTCTTAATTTTAATTTACAAGGTTTATTATTGTCTGTGATATGCTAATAAAGAATCTTCCTTCCTTTTTTTGTCTAAAAAAAATTCCTCTTTCTTAAAAGGGGTAAGCTTGTTTTGTCTACTGATTTCATTTTCAAACCCTTTAAGGTGAAGATTTGAACTTGATCTGTTCTAGCTCAATTTCTAGAAAAATGGAAAACCGGGTCACTTTCAATTTCATGTTTTTGTGCTGTTTTGAGGCTTTTTTGTGCGAGTCTGTTGAGTCCGTGTTCACTGTTTTTGGATTCCAAATATTAACCCTTTTGTTTTAGGGTTTTTTAGTGAATTGTTGTTGGTGTTGGTTGTCTCTAACTTGGTGCATGTGCTTGCATTCTGCAGAAATATAAAAGTTTAGCAACTTTTGCAACATTTCTGTGGAGATCTTGCAGTTTTTTGGCATGGAAGTTTGTGTCATTTGAATCATTTTCATTCTGCAACAAAATCCTGTTCTCTTTGTAGCATAGGTAATTCCATCAGATTTTTCTGTAAGTTTTGGTTATTGTTAATGAAGTGAAAGATATGGAAGAAGGGAAGCCATGTATGCGCAGAGAGTGGTGATTCAAAGGGGGGTTTGTGTTAAGCTAAAACTGTGATTTGGCGTATTCAGAAGTAATTTTAATGGAAAAATCACCAGGTGAAGGCTCGATAGATAAGTCCAGGGTTTTGAATGTAAAGCCCTTGCGGACTCTTACTCCAGTATTCTCCGCACCACCAAACTCTAATTCTTCTCCTCAAGGTTCTGCACCTTTCGTTTGTGTTCCGCCAGCAGGTCCTTTCCCACCTGGAGTTTCTCCTTTCTTTCCATTTTCCGGTATACCAAATCAATCTGGCCCTTCTGGTGACCACACCCCAATATCATCAGCAGTTCCGATCAATTCATTTCGGTCACCTGAGCCTCCATCTGCAAGGGCAGCAAATGGAAATGCTGGGTCATCAAGGAGGGCGAACAGTAACAACAGGGGTGTGGAAGAAGATGGGTACGGTGACAACCAAACTTGGAGTTCACAGAGTATATCTCAGAAGAGGACAAGAGGCAAAAAGGACAAAATTCCCTCTCCTGATGTTGACATGGATGTGATGGTAGAAAATATTTACCAATCATATAACCTTGTGGAATTTGAAGAAGCACGACGATATAATGGTGATAAAGATTCTGTAGGATGTGTACTCCTGGTTTTCAATCTGCTCCGAAGACAAATCGTACAGCTTGAAGATTCAAAGGAAGCCACTGCAGGACAATCAAGGCGCCCTGACTTAAAAGCAGGCAATGTTTTGATGACCAAAGGAGTTCGGACTAATGCCAAGAAGAGAGTTGGAGCTGTACCTGGTGTTGAAATTGGTGATATTTTCTTTTTTAGAATGGAATTGTGCACAATTGGACTCCATGCTCCAAGTATGGCTGGAATAGATTACATGTCTTTCAGGATCAGTCAAGATGAAGAACCAATAGCTGTTAGCATTGTTTCATCTGGGGGATACGAGGATGATGTTGAGGAAGATGATGGCTTGATTTACTCTGGCCAGGGCAAAGAAATGGATCAGAAGCTTGAAAGGGGTAACCTTGCCCTGGAGAAAAGCTTGCATCGTGGTAATGACATTAGAGTAACCAGGGGTATAAAGGACGTGGGAAATCCAACCGGAAAGGTATATGTGTATGACGGTCTATATAGAATCCAGGAGTCATGGGTGGAGAAAGGAAAGTCTGGTTCCAATGTTTTTAGATATAAGTTGGGCAGGTTACCTGGCCAGCCTGATGCATACAAATTGTGGAAAAAAATTCAGCAATGGAAGGATGGTATTATTCCTAGGATGGGGATTATACTACCTGATCTTACTTCTGGGGCTGAAACTTTACCAGTTTCTCTTGTGAATGATGTTGATCATGAAAAGGGGCCTGCCTATTTCAATTATTCTCCAACCCTAAAGTATTCAAAACCAGTATCGAGGGATCCTTTTGTTGGCTGTGCTTGCAATGGTGCTTGTCTTCCAGGAAATGAGAATTGTGATTGTGTTCAGAAAAATGGAGGCTATCTTCCTCATATTGTGAATGGGGTTATTGTGAGTAAAAAATCTGTGATATATGAGTGTGGTCCTCCCTGCCGGTGCCCTCCAACTTGCCGCAATCGTGTGTCCCAGGGTGGTCTAAGAGTTCGTTTGGAGGTGTTTAAAACTAAGGATAGAGGTTGGGGCTTAAGATCCTGGGATCCCATACGAGCTGGAGCATTTATATGTGTATATGCAGGAGAAGCTGTCGATGATTCTGAGGCACAAGACCTTGCAGGTGAAAACGAAGATGATCACATTTTTTATGGTACCCGCATTTATCAGCCAGTGGAAGTTTTGCCTGGTGATTTAAATAATGCTCCAAACCTTCAATTTCCTCTTATAATAAATGCCAGAAATGCTGGGAATGTAGCTCGTTTTATAAATCACAGCTGCTCTCCAAATCTGTTCTGGCAGCCAGTTTTACGGGGAAATAGCAAGGAGTTTGATCTCCATATTGCATTTTATGCTATCAGACACGTTCCTCCTATGACAGAGTTGACATATAGTTATGGAATGGTACCACCTGAAAAAGCAGATCGTGGGAAGAAAAAATGCTTCTGTGGATCACCAAAGTGCAGAGGTTTTTTCTATTGATGGTCCATTTACTGGAGCATTTGGATAAGGATAGTCCTTGCTAACTCATGCTTCCCGAAGAAGGTTTGTATTCCAACTTCATCACTTAGTTTTTGCTCGCTGGGGGGAAAATATATTTTTTTTCCTTATTTTTCTTCAAATGCTCATAAATTTACTGAACTGTTTCAATGCATAACAAAGTGCTATGTGGCTGATTTTTAAGGTATTTACAAAATAAATATGACTGATTATCCCAAGTACACTAAATATTCATGTTTCTTTCTTCCCTTCATCTTGCAGCCAGTTTTATTCATACCTGTAACATGTTTTCCATTATGGATGCTTCACACTTTGGAAATCATGCATTTTCTTTATATATGCACTTCATTAAATTTAGACCTTGTTTGAATTTATTTTGGTAAAAATTCTTTCAAAATATCCCATGAAGTGATGTTGTAATACGGGAAAGTGGTTTGCAGAACTGCAAGGTCATTTGTATGGCTATAACTCATAAACAACTCCTCCTTTTTTCCACTCATGAAGATGTCTGAAGCAGGCCTCCACAAGGCCATCAAAGGGGGACTCTTTTAATGATCCTCGTCTTATGTATATGTTTGAAAGAAGGTAGAGCACTAGATTCATCCTGCAATGGGCCAGAGAACAGCAAATCCTGCATCTTACTGCCATTCATGGTTTAAGAAATCTTAAGATTTTGAATTGCCAAGTATCAAATCTCATATTTGTGTTCATGATTGGAGAAGATTAGATACTCGATCACACAAGTTATATACTCTGGTCCAATTGTAGATTCAGTTAGAACATTTTGAAAATATATCATAATTGCTTTGCTGCTTCTATGTATGAATGTGTGCTTTCTTATGTACATGAGAATTTTGGTGTCCATACTTGCCTTTTGAAACTGAAGACTCACTTCTGCTTTTCCCTTTTCCACCATCAGCTATTTTTGCAGTCCGTGGCGAGAAAAGCACCAGGATGTCTCAGTAAATGCCTGTATTTCCAGCAGCTGTTGGTGGTAATTCGGTCATTGTAATGTGAAATATTAGGATGCAGACTTGTAACTTGGTTAGTTGTTATCACATCGAGTAGTTCTCGCCTAGTTTGTGAAGTTCACTCGTATTTAATAATGATTGATGTCCCCAGAAGTTTTCCTAGTTGCACTCATTTTTTCAGTCATTTTATACGCGCTTAGTTGCAGACTTGCATCCATTTTTGTTTGAATAGGGAAAGGAGTGATTTGTCGTTGAATACGAAGTGAAGCTTAGGCTTTGATGGCTGTTGTTCTAAGACTCCCGACCATTTTTGCAGCGAAGAGGTTTGCTGTGGTGAGAAAATGGAGGGTTTTTTTTTTTTTTTTTGAAATTAACACAATGGTTAAAAATTTAGCCAAAATAACTCAGCTGGAAACTTATTGTGAAAATAGCAGAGTCACAGATCACGCATGTGTGACTTTAAAATTGCATGGCAGAGGCATTTTTCTAGCCTTTCAACTCACAATTGGTCATGCATGTGATACTAATGTGTCTTGTTTTATTTTTATGTATATGTTTTCAGCAATGCTATTTTGATAAAAAAAATTCTCGCTGTGCCAAGTTTTTGTTTTTTAATTAAAAAAAACTGCAGAGGTCCTCCAAAAATGGAGTTTTTTTCTTCTTAAAGTAACACAATGGTTAAAATTTTTAGCTAAAATAGCTCAACTGGAAACTTATAAAATTACAACTAACAAGTGGTCGCGCATCTAAGAAGTGTCTCGTGTTATTTTAGCATGCAAATTTTCAGCTATGCTATTTCAACTTTTTTTCGTGTTTTCGTTGTGCAAAGTTTTTGTTTTTTGTTTTTAAAAAAACAGGAGAGGTCCTCCAAGAACACTTGCAACTAAATAAGTTGAAAGGAAGAGATCTGCATTTGCAGTTCAAAGTAGCTGGAGGTTTTTTTTTTGGTTACAAAGACTGCTTTATCAACAAGATTCAATCACATGAAAAGAAAAAATTAGTGAAGCAACTCATTCTATTTAACAATGGTATTTAGAAGGAAATCTGAGGCTACTTTATGGTTGGAACTATTTCATTTCAGAGGTTATTAGATTTGGCCAATTAACCTTTCATCACTGATTTTAGTAGCCCCAGAATACTTGGCTGCCACCAAAAAAAAAAAACCCACTTTTCTTTTGAATTCAATCCAAAAGAAAACATTTTTTTTCAAAAAGTTATTTTTTTTGGATTGATTTCATGTGGGTTTGATTTTGAAGGAGCATTTGTTGCTTAATATTTGTCATTAGAAAAGGAACAGGTATAAGAGTTGGAGATCTTCCTGTACTAAGGGAACAGCGATGGACCCTCCTTCCACACCAAAATCAAGGCGGCTCTATCAAATTTGGAAGGGAAACAATGTGATCCTTTTTTCTCACCTTCTGTATAACATCATTCTCTCTACTATGAATCTATTGATTTCTTTGATTACTGGTTTATTACTAAATAATCAAGGGATGTGCCTTAAACCAATGTTTCTTTAAAAAATCAAGGGATGTGCCTTAATCAAATGTTTCTTTATAAATTATCAGCTGCAATTATTAGTAAGAATTTAGTTAATCAGAGGCAAGAGTCCCAGAATTATAATCGGTAAATGTGTTCTGAATTGAGTGTTGCTGGCTCGTTATTGACACAACAATCGATGAGTATTCTGCAGTAGTTAGAGATGGATTTGACGAATTTGATGGGAAACAGATTGTTATGTTTTCTAATTTCTGGACCAGGACTAACAAGCTTCTTGTTCTGATATCAGAAATTTCTTTGTGGTGGGAGAGCAGTCTTTGGTCCTGATGCATCATCTCTATTCTTGACAACATTTTTAATTGGAGGTCCTGCAATAGCATTCTGCATAAAGATGCTGCTGCTGATAATCAGAAATGATGATCCACAGTATGACTATCCAGTACTAGTCGGGGGAATGGTCCTCACTATTATGGTTGGTAAATTGAAGTTTCTTGGTAATGATAGACCCCGTGCAGCCAATAATTTTTTAGTCTGACCTGATAAACTATCACGCAGGACTTCTTATTTCTCTTATTGACGTCTATTGATTTCTTTGATTACTGGTTTATTACTAATGATATTTAAGGGGATCTAATCAATGTGCCTTAAACCAATGTTTCTTTAAAAAATCAAGGGATGTGCCTTAATCAAATGTTTCTTTATAAATTATCAGCTGCAATTATTAGTAAGAATTTAGTTAATCAGAGGCAAGAGTCCCAGAATTATAATCGGTAAATGTGTTCTGAATTGAGTGTTGCTGGCTCGTTATTGACACAACAATCGATGAGTATTCTGCAGTAGTTAGAGATGAATTTGACGAATTTGATGGGAAACAGATTGTTATGTTTTCTAATTTCTGGACCAGGACTAACAAGCTTCTTGTTCTGATATCAGAAATTTCTTTGTGGTGGGAGAGCAGTCTTTGGTCCTGATGCATCATCTCTATTCTTGACAACATTTTTAATTGGAGGTCCTGCAATAGCATTCTGCATAAAGATGCTGCTGCTGATAATCAGAAATGATGATCCACAGTATGACTATCCAGTACTAGTCGGGGGAATGGTCCTCACTATTATGGTTGGTAAATTGAAGTTTCTTGGTAATGATAGACCCCGTGCAGCCAATAATTTTTTAGTCTGACCTGATAAACTATCACGCAGGACTTCTTATTTCTCTTATTGACGTCAGGTAGAGATCCAGGAATAATCCCTAGAAACTCTCAGCCACCTGAATCAGATGAATCGGTTGGCATTGCTACCCAATCTATGGAGTGGGTTAATAACAAAATTGCCGACTTGAAATTGCATCATACAAAGGATGTAGTTGTTAATGGCCACAGTATTAAATTGAAGTTCTGCGACACTTGTCTGTTATATCGTCCGCCACGAGCTTCACATTGCTCCATCTGCAACAATTGTATTCAGAAGTTTGATCATCATTGTCCATGGGTGGGTCAGTGCATTGGACTGGTAAGTTACTTCCTGGTATTCTTTAGGATTTGAAGATCTCTGGAATATTTGAATGGGGTGGGTCAGTGCATTGGACTGGTAAGTTCCTGGTATTCTTTAGGATTTGAAGACCTCTTGAATATTTGAATCTTCTGTGCTATCTGAAACCTGTGGACGTTTCTGATAATGTATGAACACATTTTTTAACTTGGACCGTATGCAATCAAAACATCTCTTCTTTAGGTTATAGAAGTTGATTGAGGTTATGTACATTTATATGATTCGTTTTGTGCATTTGAAAGTGTTACAGACAAACTTCATGGAGTGTAAAAGTTATTGATAATCCTACATGTTATTATGGCACTCCAAGCAGGAGAAATTGCATTTTGGACTTCGCTCATGATTTATCATGCACTCTATTGAATCATTCCTGCTCATGTTTTGAAATTCTGAAATTTGCTGTTCCTGCTTTAGAGAGCCTGCATAGGTTTTTTTTGACAGACACTAACCAGCTTCTTCCGTGTTGATGCCCATTTGCAGCGCAACTACCCATATTTCATAGGCTTTATATCCACATCAACCACTTTATGCATATATGTGTTCGTGTTTTCTTGGTTCTTATGCATATATGTGTTCGTGTTTTCTTGGCTCAATGTTCTCCGGCAACAGGGAACTTTGTGGAGCATTATGTCTCATGACGTTCTATCTGTTGTTCTCATTGCGTGCTGCTTTGTAGCTGTCTGGTTTGTTGGTGGGCTTACGCTTTTCCACCTCTACCTGATTAGCACCAACCAGGTATGGCATTTACAAATGATAAACAGAATCTAATGTTTGTGCTGCCGCATTCTTTTTTATCTCATAAAGTGAACAAGGCAATTCAATCAATTTTATTTGCAGCGAATATACTTTCTTAGCATTCAACTTCTGTTTTGGCCTTTCATCATATGCTTACCTCTAGCTACAATCCGTGCGTTGTTCACCACTCTTGTATCTAATTCTGTTGCCTCTCATTCATCACAGACCACTTATGAGAATTTCCGGTACCGCTATGATAAGAAGGAAAACCCCTTCAACAGAGGGATCATAAAGAACTTTAAACAAGTATTCTTCTCGAAGATCCCAGCTTCATCAATCAATTTCCGAGAATGGGTGTCGGAAGATGATGATTCTTTGATGGATAATTCAGACATAAATGGAAACTTCATTGGGAAAGGGAAATTTGACATAGAAATGGGAGGTAAATTTGGCAAAGATGGGGCCATACATCTCCCAAGTGTTTTGCAGGATTTGGATTATGGCAGTCTTAAAGATGATTTGAAGAAAAAGGGAGAAGGAAAAGCCGCATTTGACCCCTTTTTCTTTCCTGCTGATCAAGAACAAACAAATTCACCACAGACCTCCAGGGATAAAAGCAGTGCTGCTGAAGATAAAAGGAAACAATAGCTTTTATGATAGCTAGACGTTCATCCAAGGTAAATGTAGTTCTTTTAACCTGTCCATGACGTATGCACTGATGCTTTTATGAAAGACTAATGTGATCCAGAACACTAAAATTATAGACAATCCAGTAAACCAATTCTGCATAGAACTCAAACACCTTGGCAGCTTTGAAACAGTGCATCAACGTCGCATAGCAGTTGACAGATTAATGAACTTAAGTTTGGCGATGATTCCAAGTAAAATGAAAGCTTGTTGTTGTATCAAATGCTGTAAAGAAACAATGAAGTAAACAATTTCTTTTTGTTGAATTGAAATTCAATCTATTCCATGTGTACAAAAACAAAAAGTTGAAATGGAGGTGTTTTTCGGCAAGTCGGATGGCTTAGAACATAGAAGAACTGATCAGCAACTTGCTTGATTTTTTGTTGTTTTTGTTTTTCAGACTCAAGTTTTGAATGTTTTTATGTCTGGTGTACAAATTGTTCTTATGAATGAAGTAGATTAGAGTGTAAATAGTGAACTGGGCAGTCATTATGGGAAGAGTAGAGGCTGGTCCATGAATATACCCTGCATTAGACTTTGCAAATGCTACAATGGCTGGTTTAGATTATTGTTGGAAATTCACTTCAAAACTGTCATTAAAACAAAATTATTTTATGTTTCTGTCTCTGTCCTAATACACTAACCAAAAGCAATTGTTAACCAATGCAAGATGTGGATCAAACCAAACACATTAGCAGAACTAATTGGAGTAATTACTAATAAAATCAAGATCCACTGCATCAACCAACCATCTAGGTTGTGACCAAATGGTAAGAATTTAGAACTAAAAGGAATAAAATCAAGATCCACTGCATCAACCAATTAGACAGTTTTAGTTCACGCTAATATGACTTATATAGTCTCAGGTTCGAGTTTTTGGTTACTCATATAATAACCACTGAAGGCTTGCATGATTATTAACTTCAAGGCCCGTGAAATTAGTCATGGTGCACGCAAACTGACACGAACACCCATATTAATCTAAAAAACGATCCCATACATCAACCAATCAAACAGTTTTAATTCACACTAATGTGACTTGTGTAGTGATTTTCCAACAAATCTTTCTGTTCAATTGTGATATACTTATGCATAAGCTTACGAGTTCTATATACATACAAAATCTGTCAATTGTTACAAAACAAATGTGGGGATAACACCTGACAGTGATTTTGCCAGCTCTATTCTAGATACACATGGCAACAAAAAGAATGGCTGGCTACGATTTAAAGCCAGATTGTAGCCTTGGTATCTCTCGATGATAAGCACCAAAGCTGGAACCCTAGAATGGCAGGTTTTGTCTGGCCTGTTTGAGCCCATGAGAGGCTTGTTGAAAGAAAATGCCTCACGGCATTATCAACGATAAGCTGACAAACAAACCCTGTTGATACCTTGTTTCGGCTTGCGCAGACAAGTCTAAACAGAAGCCTTCCATTTGTCTTCTGAGTAATTTCTAGGCTCTTTAAAATCTGCATCCCTTCTTCGCAGGGCTAAGTGTATTTCAAAGTCTGGTTGATATTATTTTTTAAAAGATTTTTTATTTAAAAATGTATTAAAATAATATTTTTATTTAATAAAATAAAAAAATATTTGACACTAGTAAACAATAAAAAAATAGAAAAAAAATTTTAAATTAAAAAAATCAAACTTTTGCTAAATTAAAAACATTTGCTTTCAGTTACTTCAACTTCATGTTCCCACTTCTCTTATTCTTACCAATTTTCACGAGATTAATCAAATCATTATTAAAAAAATTGCTATAAACCAGTGTTTTTTCTTCAACGAAAGGAATTTAATAAATTTAAAAATTAAACCTAGAAAATCAAGAAATATAAACATGTATTTTTAATAATTAATATTTGATCTAACAATAAAATCACTGGAAATGAGTTTCCAATTCATAAATTCTTAACACGTTGTTTGTTGCACGAATTGGATAAACAAATCTATCCTTGCCTTGTTAAATTACGTGCCAACTGCTACCATTTTAATAAATTTATTAAAACAGAACAAAAGATAGAACACAATCAACAACAAAACATCTAATAAAAGGTTAAATTAAAGACAAACATTAAAAACAAAAAATAATAATAAATGAATCTTTAAGATATAGCTTAATTGAATAGATTTTAAGTTTATTTTCTATTAATCATTAATTTGAGTTTTATAAACTTTAAAATTAGTAAAAATTTATATAATTATTAACTTTAAAAATTATAAAATTAGTTAAGAAATAGTTTAATATTTATATTAATAAATAATAATAATAATAATAACAACAACTGAAAGGAGAGGCGACAGAGACAAACAAAGAAAAGCGTGTAGACCACTTCAAATTTGCAAGAAGATGTTGTGCCATCACGATGGTTGACGTTGAGCATGGCTGGACGCTCCACTTGCTAGCCTATCAAATTCTTTTTTTATTAGATTATTCAATAATAATAATAATAATAAAATCTAATTAGTTTATTGATAATATTTTTTCTTAGCTGAAAACCAATAATAAATAAAAGGGTTACGAAAGGAATTCTTTTATTATTTATAATGGATATGGTGAGTCAATTCATTCAGTTTAATAGATAGCCAATCTTTATCTTTTTTTATATATAAAAAAAGAGCAAAATTGAATTATTAAAATTTAAAATTTATAAAAATATTTTTTTTATTATCATCTATAAGTGCTCACCTCAATATTTAAAAACAAAAAACAACTCTAACTAAATTGAAGATATTCTAAATTTATTTTTTAAATATTATTAATTCAATTTTCATAAATTTTATAACAATTAAAAAATTAAAGATTTATATAATTGTTAATTTCAAAACTCATAAATTGATTCAAACATCTAAATTATGAAAATATTTTTAAATATGAAATTTTAAAAAATAATTTCAATACATTAAAATGAAAAATTATTAAATGGCTTAGAAAATCTTTGAATCACAGAATCAACGTAAGCAATTATAATATAATTTTAAACATATTTGTTTATTATTATACATATATTTTAAATCATAAATAAATTTTATTTTTACGCTGTATATACCTTCCACGTGTTTTATTTATAGATTTTACGGTTAAAAAGAAAAAGAAAAAGGTACAGTTCCCGGCATACCCTGTAATTCCTCCATTAAAACTAGTCCTCGTATTGTTTTTTTTTTTAAAAAAAAAAACCTATATAAAATGACGAACATAAAAATTAATTTGAATAAGAAAAGAAAATAATAATAAGGCATAAAGTATAATAATTAAATAAATAAACAATAATACTGGCGGAAAAGCCGCGAGAAATTGAAACATCCGCCCCGAACTCATCGTTGCCAGCGTCTCTCTCTCCCATCCTCTATCTGTAACAGAGTTTTGTCTAGACAGAGAAAGAATCAAACAAACCCCAATAGTGTTAAACTAAAGTTTTAATCCTTACAAGAATTAATAGGAGAATCTTCGTCTTGGTATAATCACCCCCTCTCAAAAAAAAAAAACAGGAAAGAAAAAAAACAATAACAGAGAGAGAGAGAGAGACTCTTGGTTAAGCAAGAAGCAGCACCTGGTTTTTGATCCAAAAACCTCTCCACCTTCCTCTACTCTCTCCCTCTTTCACAAATTTCCACTCCATTAATATTTACAAATCTTGGGTTTCTATTACATTTCCAAGAAGGAAAGAAAGATTGGATCTTTTTGGCTGTGGTATGTGTGGATAGAAAAAAAGAACGGAGTGTTTGTGTTTTTGTTTAGAGGTTGGTTAATATGAATCCAAATTTGGGTTCTTCTTCTTCTTCTACTGCTGCTTCTCCTGCTAGAGGAGAAGGACGAGGAGGCGGCGGGGGAAATGGAGGGATGGACAAGGGTTATAAGCCGAAGAGGTTATATCAAGTTTGGAAAGGAAGCAATGTTAGTGTTTCTCTCTCTTTCTTTGTCAAGTTTGTTTTTTGAGTTGTGTCATCATTCGCTGAATTGGGTTTTCATTATTCTCTTTGTTTTGGATGTGTGTGGTGCAACTTGGAAATTTGGATTTTTTACTATCAATTTGATTTTGTTGATCGTGGATGGAGGTTGACTTAGTTGTGTCCAATATTTCAATGTGGAAATGAATGTCTTTGATCTTAATTGTTATGTTTGATGAAATGTTTAGATGCATTCTGGACTGGTAGATTTTGAAACTGTAAAAACTTTTAATTTTGTTTGGTCATAATTGAAATTGGTTCATGAAGTCGTTTCTTGTTGTGTTGAACTTGGTTGGATTTTGTAAATAATTTCACCCTGCAATTTTGATGCGTGATTAGCGGCAAGAAGTTTGTTCAATTTTGATGCGTGATTAGCGGCAAGAAGTTCGGTTTCTGGTTAGAGTTCTCCAACATTCCAACTTTTTTTAATCAATTTAAGAAAATATTCCTCTGGTTCTTTGTTCTTTATCAGTATATCAGTTAGTTACTTAGTTTGGTCGTGGATTCCTTGTGAAGTTTCAGCTGACCATTTCTTGATTCACTTGATCAACTTGCGAATTTGCTGAGTATTTATCATGTTGCATTTGAAATGTACACATCCTCATGACGGTTTTTATGGAAAAAAAAACCTTGAATATTGTTTCCTTTTATGGAATTGTAGCATTGATGAGCTTTAGTTGTTTTTTGTCTTGGTTTCATCAGAGATTTTTCTGTGGCGGGAGATTGATCTTTGGTCCTGATGTGGCATCGATTTTTCTATCAATGCTTCTTGTTGCTGCCCCTGCTATTGGTTTTTGTATAAAAGTCTATAACAAGATTTTGGACAAAGGTACCAAAAATCCAGCTCGGTGGTATCCTGTATTTTTCGTGGGCTCGATCCTTACTGTATTAGTAAGTATTTCATTTTCAATTTGGCTTCAAGCAGTGCTAACAATAGGCAGAGTTGCAATTAACTTGTTCTTAAAGGAAGCGCTGCAATTGAATGAAATGCAATTATTATGGGATTTGGCTGTTTGTTTTGGTTTCTTTATAGGATTTTTCTTTTGCAGCTTATGATGTGAGTTTTTCAACTTACAAAAAATTTTCAGAAAGATTTGTTGTTAAATATCTACCAAGTGAAAGTTGTCTGACATTGTAGTTCCCATTAGTAGATAGACAGTCAAATTTTCTGACAAGTGTTTCAGTAATTTCTGTGTAAAACCACCTCTTCTTACATATAATGAAAAATCTAATAATAAAGTAAACTTTTTCTGTAGGATTTATTGTTTCTCTTCTTAACATCTTCTCGGGATCCTGGAATAGTCCGTAGAAACACAAGGCCTCCCGAGTCAGATGAAACAGGTGACGTAACCCCATCAATGGAATGGGTCAATGGGAGAACCCCCTATTTGAGATTACCTCGGACAAAAGACGTGATGGTAAATGGCCACACTGTGAAAGTTAAGTACTGTGACACCTGTTTGCTTTATCGTCCTCCCCGTGCTTCTCATTGTTCAATTTGCAACAACTGTGTTCAGAGA